GACGGGCAAATCTCGTTGCGGCGCACAGACACGTTCCAATGCACCAACAAGCTGGAAATGGAGGTCGAGGCCACGCAGATTCAAAAGCGCGAGGAGGGCGAGAGCGACAACTGCGTTCTCGTCACGTTCTACTTCCTCGTCACCAGCTCTTCTGAAGAGGTCACCAACTACGTCATTCTCTTCGAATACGGTACTTACCGCACCACGCACGCACGCACACACACGCACGCACACACACGCACACACACACACACACACACGCACGCACGCACGCACACACACACACACAGCACAGCACACAACGCATGCCGCTGACACAAGACTTGTCTTGCGTGCAACACCAGATCCCGGATGTGACAGCTGCGGCGGTTATGAGGATGGCTGCGGATGCCACCCTTCAGGATCCCCCTCCACCTGCTCGTGCGAGGCCGTCTCCTACCGCGGCTACGACTCCACCGGCCTCGACAGAAGTCTCCTGGTACGTGTGTGTGCCGGTGTGTGTTGTATGCGATTGCAAACTCATGCGAGTGTCGTGCGTTGTGTGCGGCGATGACAGCTCTCGGAGGTGCAGCTCCTGCGACAGTACGTGGAGCAGACCCAGGCGCTCGCGGAGGAGATTCAGACGCGATTCGCCACCACGGACGACGGCACGACGACGGAGGAGTTTGACGACATCATCGACGAGACCTACTACTACCAGTCTCTCCTCGATGCCTTCAACCCCTACCTCGAGGCTGTGCGCTCCGACCTTGAGTTGTAAACCACCACCTCCCCCCCACCACTCACCCACTCTATCCGCCGAGCTCTTCCGACCACCACCATCATCAGCAGCCACGGGCTCCAGAGAGACGCGCCGCTCTCTCACACACAACCTCTCTCTCTCTCTCAACTCTCACACTCTTCTGGCGCTCTATTCTCTTCTCTTCGTTTTGATCTTTTCACTTCCTTCGTTTTGTTCTACATGACAGCAACTACATACATTTTTTTTCAATCTCACCCTCGTCTCGTGTCGTGTCGTGTCGTGTCGTGTCGTGTGTTCAAGCGGCTATCTGCGTACGTGTCGTGTTGTGTTGTGTGTGTCCTGTTAGGCTGGTTGTTGTTGTTGTAACAAAATAATTACGCTTGGGAAGATGACGAAGACGAGGTGGACGAGGTGGGCTGGTCGGAGGAGGAAGAGGAAGGAGGGGGAGGGGGGAGGTCGTTCTCGACGGGTCGCCAGGGGTAGAGGAGGAAGGCCTTGACGGTGGGCCAGTCCCACGGGAACACGATCTCCCGCACCCGATTCGCCGTCGCCAGCTCGAGCGGCTTCGGCGGCTCCTGCGCGATCAAGTAGTCCACAACCTGCCGCACACGCACCACCGCACCCAGTCAGCCTGGTCCGTGTCGTTTGTCGTGTGTGTGTGTGTGTCACGTGTTTACCTTTTCCTGGGCCATCTCCCGGTCTGTCGCGATCTGTTCGCGCTCGTCTACGATGTCTTCGTCGCTCACGAAGCTCTGTCGGTCGGCCAGGACGTGCTCTTGGAACAGGTAGTACAGCTCCTGCCCTCCGTTCTCGTACCTGCCCGGTACCCCGCGTCAGCGCACGACACAACACACGAGACGACACGACACGCAACGACAGCACGACACGACACGACACGGTACCAGTAGTCGACGACCTCTCTGAACTCTTCGTCCTTTTGGTAGTAGGCGTAGAGCGGACTCGCCAACACGCCCAACACAAACACCTGCACATTAAAAAAATAGATTAAAAATAATCCATCTTGATATTATTAATAAATAAAAAAATTATTAATAAATAATACCTGTTGCTTCCAGGTGTAGTCGTTCCAGGGCCGCTTCCAGTACTTCCTGGTGCGAACCATGAGGGGTTCCTTGGGCTCCTTCTTGGCTGCTTCGGCGGCATCCTCGCCCCCCTCTTGGGCTTGCGATCCGCCGCCGCCGGTGGGGATTTCATCCGATTTCGAGGAATCAGGGGCGATGTTGACAGATTCAGTGGATGGAGGGGTGGTGGGCTTGGATGGATTGGTTGAGTAAAGGCGTGGCAGAGATGAAGTAAAAGAAGTCGATGTGTTGATAGGGACGCAAGAATGAGTCGAGATGGCCGATGAGATGGGAGATCGCCACCTCGAGTCCACCCTCATCTCCATGTTGGGGGCAGCGGCGCGCATAGCGGTGATGGCCCTCCTCTTCATCTTCAGCTTATGCGCTCGATGAATTATTCGAATAATTGAAATTAAGAAAAGCCATTTAAAAAGAAAAAGAAAAAGAAATAATAAGCGCGGCATTTTCCAGCTCTCTGGGTTCACTCGATCAAGATAAAGAAAAGATGAGCAGGGAGGGCAATGAGGGAATGGATGACGACCGCCACGATGCAGATGCGTCGATAATGGCCGAAGATACGCCGAGGCACGACGATGAACACGAGCGTGCAGGCGGCAATCGAGGGGGAATGGAAATGGCGGCACAGCAGCACCAGCCGATAGCGATGGTGCACCACCAGCTGAGCGCGGTGGTGAGCGTGCAGCGCACGATCAATCTGTACAATCTTGAGAAGTACACCTTCGGCAAGAAGGAGGCCCAGATGGAGAAGGACACCTCAGTCGCGGCGCGATTGCTACGCATGAAGGACATGTATGAACGCGAGGGCATGCGAAGAACGGTCGATGCCGTCCTGCTCGTACACCAACACAACCATCCTCACGTTCTCCTCCTCCAGATCGGCAACACCTTCTTCAAGCTGTACGTCCATTCCCGCTACATTAATCTTTGCATTTTTTTAATTCATTTAAATTCTGATTAATTCCCTCTTTGTGTTGCCAGGCCTGGCGGGCGTCTGAAGCCCGGCGAGAACGAGGTGGACGGTCTCAAGCGGAAGCTGACGAAGAAGCTCGCGCCCAACTACTCCAACTACCAGCTGGACTGGGAGGTGGGCGAGCTGCTCTGCCAGTGGTGGCGACCCAACTTCGAGACGCTGCAGGTTCTTTTCTTCCTCCTGCCAATCCTTCTTCTTGCTTACTTGAGGCCTAACAAGACGCGTCGTGTGGTGTGTGCCGTGTGTGCCGTGTGTGTGTGTGTTTGTGCGTGTGTGTGTTTGTGCGTGTGTGTGTTTGTGCGTGCGTGCCGTGTGTCGTGGGTAGTATCCCTACATCCCACCGCACATCACGCGACCCAAAGAGTGTAAAAAGATATTTCTGGTCCAACTTCCTGAGCGATGTACGTCTCTCTTGTCCTCAGACGCGAGCGTGAGCGATGTGTTGGCCAGCGACTCACTGTTGTGTGTCGTGTGTGTGTGTGTGTGTGTGTGTGGTGTCGTTGGCGGCCAACAGGCGTGTTCGCGGTGCCCAAGAACCTGAAGCTGTTGGCTGTGCCCATCTTCGACCTCTACGACAACGCGTCCCAATACGGACCCATCATCTCGTCCCTCCCGCAGACCCTCGGCCGCTTCAACTTCACCTACCTCTGAGTCTGGCGTGCACCATCATCCCGCGCTGTGCATCTAAAGAACATCAACTTAAAAAACCACGTTCCAGTTCTTCATATGTGTGTGTGTCATGTCATGTGTCATGTGTCGTGTCGTGTGTCGTGTGTTGGTGTCGCACGCACGGGGACCATTAAATACATGAGGTCAGGCGCGGCCTTCGGCGTAGAGGAAGGCCTGAAAGGCGGCCGAGATGGCGGGCGGGACCCGGCTTGCCGCGGCCGCCGTGTCCTGCTCGATGGCCGCGAAGAACTCAGGTCCCAGTCCGATCTGCGGCTCCTGCAGCGTCACCTCCTCCATTCGAATCCGCACATCCTTCCTACATTGCGCGTGTGCGTGTGCGATCAGTCGTGTGCGGTGGTGACGTGTGCGGTGATGCGTGTGTCGTGTCGTGTCGTGTCGTGTTTTTTTACCCGGTGAACTTGTGGAAGAGGGACTCGAGCGGCTTGGCCCAGTTGTGGTTGGCGGGCGCGCAGATTTCGTGGTAGTCCATGCCCATGCGCCGGTGGAACATGACGTACTTGCGCTGCAGCCGGCGGTGGTGGTGCCCGTCCAGCTTGCTGCCCACCAACACCATCGGCGCGTCCTGGCGCACCCTCATCATCGCCCTGCCCGCACACAACACGACACACGGCACACACCGCACACGAGCGTCAGCATGGCGGGAAGCGTTTAGTGAGAGGGAGGGGGGAAGGCCGACCGATGACACAGGCCGACGTGGCGGTAGGACTGGAGCGAGGCAATGTCGAACATGATGATGGCCGCCTGGCCACCCGCCAGCAGCTCGTCGCGCACCCCGCCGCTGATCTCCCTCGATGTCGCCGGTTGATCCTGCACACGCACCGCACGCGACACAAC